TCATGATCTAAAGGGTATGAAAATTTACCAAAAAAAAAAAGCTTAAAATTTACTTCTTTATTTAACATTTCTTTCAAAGTATGTTGTTTAAGTTGCTTTGTTTTTTTGCTAATATTTTCTCTTTAATTCTGTAAACAGACATAATCTCCTGTTAAGTTACATTGTTGAAGTCCTGTAACTGTTTTGAGAATTCCAGCTAACTTGTCAATTGAAATTTTCTCGTTTTCAGTAATTTCTCTGCCACTTTCTTCACTAACAGTAGCAGTATTCTATGGATCTAGAACCATACTATAGATTTTGCCATTCCTTAATTGACTGATGATTCAGAAGCATTGTCATCACAATGAAAAACTTCTTTTGTATCATCATTTATTACTGCTTCTCCACGTTTCTTTACAAAATCTGTTAATCAGAATATTTCACCTTTGTTTTGCGATATCCGAAAACCTTTAAAATTAGCAGGTGTCATCATCATTCTCACAATGAAATATGGTACCTGGCCATAAATTATCAGAAGCATTTTTTAAAGTATCTGAAGGCACATCCTCCCACGATCTTGCGGTGCTCCACGCAACAGATTTAATGCTAAAATAGTTCGAGAACTCTTGGATAATCTTGCCATTATTCAAGAAATTTAAGATGGATTTTAAAAATACTACTTCACTATCTGTGGCGGTATTTTCTGGATCTAGAACCATACTACGGATTTCACCATTCATACTATGAAAACTTCTTTTATACCATCTTCATTTATTACCAGTTCTCCTAATTTCCTTATAAAATCCGTTAACAGGAAAATTTCACCTTTGTTTTGCGATATCCAAAAATCTTTAAAATTAACAGCTATTATCATAAATTTAGCTATCCTTCACTGTACATATTTGGCTATGCATCATGAGCTTGGCGACTCAAGACAAGTTGTTCTGTTAAATTTTATCTTGCTTCTATCATGCACCGAGACAATTATGCCTGAATTGTAGTAGTTTAGTTATTTATTATACTTATGTTTATTTCTCGCACATGCTTAAAGCTTATCAGAGTTCTGAATAAATAAATTCCCTCATATACGTAAGCCTTACTGAGGGCTATACCTTACCGACTGATGCAGTCTCTCTGGGTCTTACATTCTGCGATTCGGTGTGGCCATATGTGGTCTGGCACTGGTTTTGGGTTTATGTGAATAACAAATCAGTTATTTTTAATTTAAATAGTCGTAAATGTAATCTTTAGGTCTACAAATATGATCAACAAAATCTATTTTTAGCATATGGAAAGAAATTTTTGGTAAATTTTTGCTAGTCAACATTTTTTAGTGCCTTTAACTTAAATCTGTAATCATCGCTAAGCATAATGTCAACATAAAGGGTTACCATACTCTTTTATTATTCAATTAATAACATTAAAAAATTATTTAGGCATTGCTACATGAGTCATTACTCAAGTTGTCAGTTTTAGTAAACATACGGTGATGAAAGAAAAGTATAATAAATAATGATTCACCAGGTCGGCGTCAGATCAACGATGTATGTATGTGGAGCGTTTCTGTTTCAGATGTCTGCCAAGTTGATATGCAGCAATGGAGGCAAATTACTGATCATACAAATTTATGATAAACTGATTGTGTCTTCAATAACGAGGTATTTTATTTAGCGCCGAAGTGAAATTAAGAATAGGGACTCTCCAGATGTTTTATTATGCGCGAAGGGAGGGAGGATCAAATGCGCATGCGTAAAGCCCACGAGAAAAACATTATTGGTGGTTTTGAGGTCTGGATTTTAGATCATTCCAGATATTGGATGTCTGGATCTTGGATTTTGTACTCCATTATATATATTGTTTAATCATTTTAAATTTTCATGAAAAGGTATTTCATAGCAGTATAAATGAAACTTTAGTGCAAGAGGGAAATTTTGGATTTTAAAAGCTAGACGTTTTGTAAAATCTGTGTTATACGATTGTAGATTTTGTAAATAAAATATAATGCTAGACCTGGACATGAGATAACAACTCATCTTCCTGCTTACTGAGTGTAGAAAACTTAACCGTTTGAGGTAAGTGGGGTAGATTTTGCTGGAAATTTTGTATTTAAAAGATGGTACAAAAGTGTGTACTTCATTGTTTACATGCACAGTGACTCAAGTAGTCCATTTAAATTATTATCAAATTACATACAGAGTATTCAAGCATTGTGAAGATTTTTTATTTCACATAGAGGTATTTGTAGAGTTTTTCATTCTAACAATGCTAAGACCTTTTAACTGTAAATCGTGAATTCAAATACTTATAAAAATTTCGTAAAGATGAAAAGGTTCTATTTTTCCTCATGAAAAATGGGATTTGAATAGAAATATATTGTGGAAGGCTCTCCTTGGTGGGGTGGTTTCTGGGAACGTTTCGCAAGATCTTTAAAAACTTGTTTAAAATTAATCTTAGATAAAGCTTCTTTATCTTATGAAAAATTATATACTACTTTAGTGGGAAACTGATGAAAAAAGTGAAAATGCATTTCATGCATTCTGAGATAATGCATGCTATTTTAGTTTAAGTTGAAGCTGTAATAAATTCTACACCCATAACCTACAGTGGATGGACAAAAATATGGAAACACCTTGTGAATGCAGTTTAAAGAAAGATGATTTAATGAAATATGTAGGTGGCGCTGGCATTTTTGACTACTGACGCCACCTATACAACTTTGTAAATCTGCTAAACAGTTCAGTTGTTGTCGGAGTACTGTTATGTGAGGTTGTCATTGCATTATGTCAGAGTTAACCGACTTCGAACGTGGGAAAATTGCTGGAGCACATAAGGTAGGTGCTTCCATACGCAAGGTAGCCAAGGTGTTTAGTGTTTCAAGAGGTACTGTATCGAAGATTTATTCCGCATATTTGAAAAGCGGAAAAAAATCATCTGCTAAATCACAGCGCGGCGAAAGTGTGTCCTGAGTGATCGTGACAGACGATCATAAGGGCAATTGTCACGAAAAATAAGAAGACCACAGCTGCAAAGTTACTGCTGCAATGAAATGTTGTGTTACCGAACCCTGTGAGTACCAAAACAATTAGAAGGGAGCTTCATAAACAGGGAATTGCTGGCCGTGCTGCAATGAGAAGCCACTCATCAGTGATGCTAATGCCCGTAACAGGAAAGGTGGGTTTAAGTCATAAAGCCTGGACTATAAGAGTGGAAGCGAGTAATATGGTCTGACGAGTCTTCTTTCACATTGTTTCCATCTGGCGAGTTTACGTAGGGAGAAACCATCCTCAAGCCTATAATACAGACTGCTTGTGCCAGGAGTGAAACATGGTGGCGGTTCTGTTATGGTTTGGGCAACCATATCGTGGTTCTCTGCTAGCCCCTGAAACTGTGTCAGGGCACATGACTGCCAAGACTTATGTGAACATTTTGGCCCGTCAAGTTCATCCCATGGTACAAAACTTTGTACCCGATGGTGATGGTGTCTTCCAAGAGACAAAGCCCCTGTTCACACAGCTCACATTGTCCAGGATGGTTTTGAGCACGAGGATGAGTTGTCCTCTCCCCTGGCCACCAGTCACCAGACCTGAATATTATCGAACCTTTGTGGTCTACATTGGAACGGAAGTGCGTTCTCGTTATCCACTGCTAACATCGTACCAACTTGCCACCGTTTGCAGGAAGAATGGTATAATATTCCTGGCAACATACAGAAACTGTATTTATCCATTCCGAGAAGACTGCAAGCTGTTTTGGATGCCAACGGATTTCCTACACCATATTAAGCAAAGAAACAGGTTTTTTTAAAGGTGTTTCGATATTTTCCACCCCTGTATCTATACAATGAACTTGATCCTCTTTCAGCATCTCATTTTATAACGAGGTCTGGATTAACTCTTTTATCTTCACCTGAATTTAAATTATAATCTAGAAGATCTCAGTTGATAAAAGATGGAACCATAGGCAGTTATTAATAGAGCATTTTTGGAAAAGGTTTTATAAAGACTATTTGTTAGAATTAAGATGTTACTTGTTAGAATAAGTCATGCTGTCAAAAACTCCAAAAAATTCTTCCATGTTTAAAATTAATGACATTGTAATGGTACGAGAAGATAATGTGAAATGCTGTAACTGGAAGTTAGGTAGGATTAAAGAATTATTTCATGGAAGAGATGGCCGATGTGAGATTCATTTGGATAAGGGTATTGTTAGGAGACCAATTGAAAGACTTTATAATCTTGAAGTTCAGTAATGCATCCATTTATGGATGCATGGGGGGGGTCAGGCTTAAATATAAATTTATGATTATGTATCCTCAGATTGCCAATAGATGGCGGTAGTGTTTGTTTGAAAAAAGAAACTGTGATGTCAATTGTGTACATGTAGTAGTTCATCTTTGGTGTTCGTGAATAAACATGTGTGGAATAACATTCTCTTTTTATTACTTTAAATTCAATCCTGTCTGATTTATTATAAAGACTTATACAAATTCTGTTTACTATGAAATCAAGTACTAAAGGTAATTTACATTCACTAAAAGAAAATTCTTTGTTCCAAAATAATTTTTACTCTGCTTTTATAATTACTTTTATTCTGCTAAATCTTAAAGTCAGGAATACTGATGATAAAAGCCATTTGAAAACCTTCAAAATCATCAAACAATCTATGGAAGCCAAGAATTCAAGTCAAAACAGGAGTTAAGCTTTTGGAATGACTTTACTGTTGATAATCATTTGCAGAAATAGTTGCCCATAAACAATTACCTTATACAGCATTAGAGTACAAAAAGAAAGGCTGAAAATATTTCCAGATCTCAGGTTAAAGTGGCAATGCCAAGTGCATATTGAAATTAATGATAATCATACATACACAAACTGGGAGAAGGAAGAAAAATTTTACACCATCTACAGCACACCTGTATGTGCTGTTATAATTACAATTTTTATAACACAAACATTTAAAGCTTCTGATATGAATTTATACCAGCTTAAATAGAAAGGACAAAAATGCACATTGCTACTCACCTTAAACAGAAGATCACTAGAATGATTAATTGTATAACCTAAAACTGAAACTCTGTCCTTTAATAAAGATACCCCTTCTTCTCTTAATCCACTAACTACTTTTTTAAGATGAGATGAATGTCTTTTTAACTGCTGACTTCGCTCCTATTAAGAAAAACAAAATCAGTATTCAGAAGTACATACATGGAAATATTTACACAACAATAACATAAAATACTTGATAGGAATATGAATGGCTTAAAAAATTAAGCTACCAAGCTACTAACTATAATCTTTGCAACTCCAATGACAAAAGTGATCCTGCAATACCAAGTGACAAAAATTAATATGAAACAGCAAGGGAAAAAAAAGCTTGAATAATGCCACTAAACTCTTCTTTGAATAGGCAAAAAACATGACAGATTTGGCATCAAGAATAGAGAATCACTTAATACTGAGAATTCCCAACATTAAAGTTCAGAAGACTTCACAAAATTGTAGACTCTCTCACTAAGCTATGGCTGAAAACAAACTAAGGCATTTGAACTAATTCGTAAATTTGTATTAAACTGACAAACTGAGCTCCAAAATTTTCCATTTTATTAACTGACCGGCAAAGGAGAGGGAAATTACTGTGGAAGTTTTTGGTAGAAACCCAAAGAACCATTTCTCTAATTATGAAAATGGGAATGAACCCATCCAATTAGGTTCCAACTGTCACAACATATGCCAATTAAAAATATAAATGCACAGTTATTATGCATTATATAAGCATACATAAGAAATATATGCAAAATCACAATGAGATACAAAATATTAACAGAAATAAAGCATAAATATACAGTATAATACAAATATATATTTACATAAATTTACATTTTTAAAGCAGTTCAAAACAGCAACAGAAAGACAAATAAACAAATATGCAATGTATTAAACAATATTTCATGATTTTTAATATGACTCAAAAGCACCCATATACGGCTTTTTAATGGGATAGAAAAACAAAGAAAGGAGCATTTTATCATGCCAGATAGATTAAAAAAAAAAAAAAATTCAGCAATTAATAACCTTTTCCTTTGCTATCTGATGTTCAAGTTGTTTCCTATAACTTGAAGATTTCATAAAATTAATAAAATCTAATATTAACTGCTTCTGCATCATCAAAAGGTTATCAATGGCCATAGATTCTTCAATCCCTCGATTCTGCACCACCAGTGAAGTATTACTGAGTTTCTGGTCGATGCAGCCAGGAGCTGGATCTGAATTAACTAAACAAAGAGGAAAAGGAATATGTAGATTTTCTTCATGCATTTCAACTAATACCATACTTTGATAAATTAAAATCATCAGTAATATTACATAATTACCAGAATTAGATGTACTAAGAACAGTCTGAGCATGAAGTAAATCCAAGCCACTGAATTTTAATGGCTTGTTTTTCTTTGCCTTTGGTGTATTCTTTTTTGGTCTGCCTGGACCACGCTTCCTCTCAGATCTTCGGAGCTTCCTTTGCGATTTCAGAAGTCCATCCATTGAACTACAGTTCCGTTTCATAGGCTCTAAAATTCATAATATACATATATATGTACAGCTAAAGAGAAAGGATGTACAACATGCTTGTATTTAATAATCAGTATAACATTAATAGTTAATTTACATATGATATATAACATTCACTATATAAAATGCTAATAATTAATTTACATAGATTATCACAATGTAAACAAAGTTACAAAATTCAGTAAAATACAGCTTTAGATAAGAAAACATGGACCTTTCAACGAGAAAAGCCTCTCCAGATTGCAACACAACTTCAAATGTGGAAAACTTGATTTCAGTCACTTTGTAATGCATAATTCAGATTGTTAAACCGATTAGAGCAAGGTTTTAATTTTTAATACATTAAATTCATTATTATAAATTTTAAAGTATGTTCTTTGGGGTCATTTCATTCAAACTGATAATCCTCTTAAGATTTTACATTGAAACATACTCAGGCAGGATAAAAAAGTTCTTATCCAAAAAGCATTTAGATATGAATGAAATTAAAAATTAAATCACACATAATCATGTGAATAAATTTAGACATGTACTACTCACAAATTTTAAGCAACAATAAGTACACATATTCACCGATTAAATATTGGACAATTCTTCATAAACTAAAAGAGTTTGTTTATATTCAGATTAATTTAAAACTGTGAAATAATGGAAGAATTTCCAGATTAGATGAAGGGATGAAAATCAAGAGTCTTCTAGTTTTACTGGAAAGATGTGCAGGTCCGAGCTTATCCGGCAAAAACTTCATTAACTGAAGTATGAAAAGGTTTACATCCAGCCACACACTGAATGAATGTGAAAGTATAGTCCCAGTGTGATTCATGCACGCAAGAGATAAATAAATTCGGCAACTCAGCGACTGCAAGTTAGCTGGCAAGCCAATCAGGGTTCGATATTCATGTTTGATGAATATCAAAGCCTGATGGCTGAGGGTTGAGCACAGGGCTAACTATACCTCACCCTGTAAATACACCGTGTTTCAAAACGAATATACGTATTACAAAGTGTCATTTGGTCTAAATTATCGATCACTGCGCCTCGGCTCGGCCGATTATGTGAACGAAACTCTACTGAAACTTTGAAATGGTCGTAAAGGAGCTGGTGACTTAGCATGTCTCAGCTGGCCTCCACAGTCACGGATTTGACACCCTGCACTTCGCGGTTTTCATAAGACATGTTTATGTACACACTCCACAGAACCTGGAAGAGGTGAAGAACCATAACTACTGTTATAACTGTCAACGACTATCGTAACATCAGCGACAACGGACATGCCTTTCAACGCGCACATACGTAAGGCATACATTACGCATAGTCGAAATTAGAAAATCGCAACAAAATATTGTGTGTATTCGGATATTTTAATGCGAGGAATTTGATTTAAATCATATCAAAAACGGAGTACATTGAGATGAAAATACATCAGTAAGGAATATAAGCCAAAAAAATAAAAACATCTGCCTGAAGATAAGGATAGTGATGACAGATCAACTTCCAGTTCATTGCGCGCCGTGACGTCTTCCCCCCCCCAGCAGAGAAGCGTGAAACTGATAAACAGATTTCGGAATGGTTAGAGGAACAAGGGGTATGCCTGCTTTCGCTTGGCAGCCCCAGAATCAGAAATTCTTTTTGACATAATCAAAAGTTCAAGCTTACTTTTATAAAATTGCTCTAAGTCTGCAAAATATAATAAGCCGGATCCAGTTAGAAGATTAAGGAACAACGTAATCTGCAACATTAACTGAAATAATTAGGTAATTTTAGCTTAGCTTATACCGTCCGTTATACATTAAACACGACTGCGTAAACGTATTATGCGCATGCGTAAAGGTATTATGCGCATGCGTAAAGGCATATGCGCATGCGTCAATGCATAATGCATTGACGCATGTGCAGAAAGTTTGTAGCTTTGAGGTTCGGATTATAGATCATTCCGGATTATGGATGTCTGGATTAAAGACTTTTGACTGTACTGTTTTTAGTTATTATAGCCATTTGCAGTGCAGCAAATTATGCATTAATTATAGCATCATATGCACTCATTGCTGTGACTAAAGACAGTGAGGACACAAAGAGAGTATTCTATGACAGTATGAACTGCATTATGTAAAACTCCCCAATAATGATCAAACTTAGTGACTTTTATGTAACCACAGGCAGAGAATCTGAATTCATGCCATTTATTAGCAAACACACTCTACATAAAACTTCCAATAATAATGATCAGCTACTTAAGCATTTTAGTGCAAAACATGAAGCAATTATTGAATACACCGCTTTCTCATAAATCCCTCAATAAACCCACCTGAGGATCTCCAGACAGATGCACTTTTAGTGAAATATATATACCATGTCTAAGACTTCTGACATATGTCAAAATTGTGAATCCTTTGCAATCTGGGCCCTTTTGGCATGGCACACCATCAATTCGAGACTTTTTGCAGCCTTTTTGATGCATTTCTTACCAGTAACTTATATCATTACATACACAATTAATGTAAAAAAAAAAAAATTATATTTTAACATTTTATATAGCTTTACACTTTTATAAACATAACTTCTTAAAAATTAGTCTCTGTAATATTTCTGTGTATGATATTTCATGTAACAATTCCCAAGATGCATGCCCCACATGTCGGGACAAGTATTACAATATGTGGTCTGATACCCTTTTCCGGGTTCATTTGTCTGAAAACGGACTTTGTGATAGATAAGGAAAGATTTCAGATAAGAAAATATTATCTTCATTTAAAGCGTTATCATTTTACACTTCATAAGATTATACAGAAAGAGCATAGGAACCCGCTTCAAAGAAATTAAATGTAAACAGATATTCTGTGCATCGAGTTTCTGCATGAAACCAAGTGGTGAGCAAGAGTCACCTCTCGAGTGCAAAGGGTTAAATGTACAATCATAAAGAGATGTACCACAGACTCTGTTTACTACTTGATTTCCATAAAACTCAGGACAAAACTTCTAACAAACAAGGACAGGCACAAAATATTAGAAATTGGTATAATTCAACTGCTAACATCTATACAGAAATGCTGGAATAAAACCTAGCAAGATAAATTTTGAGTTAAAATGACTTTGAGACTACACAGACTACAATTTTGATCATAATAGCATTTGTTCCTGGAAAAGTTGAAGAAACAGCTTGCTTTGAAGTTTAAAAATGGCATATGGGTATATGATGCAAACGACATACAAAAGTGTCTGTCAAAGCTACAAAGGGAAAAGAGTATATAGACTTAAAAAGTGACAATAACTAATAATCTTCTTAGAGATACTGACTGTCTCATCCTAAATGTGTTATAAAACAGCTTTCAGTTAGAGTAGAGTTAAGGGTGCCCCTTGGCTTATCCCTAAGTTGTTTCATTTATAGTAACCTGAGTAGTTGAATGTTATGGAAACCCTACTATGACATAATTGGTTACATGGTTCCTATCAATCGGAATTGTGGGAAAGGATTTGGAAAGTGTGTGTCAGATTTTGTGTAAGAAGTACATCGTTATTTTATGGTTTACAAGGTAAAATAGCTGAATGTGGTAAGATTAATTTGAAGTTTCTGTACGATTTGGAACGAAAGGGAAAAAAGCAAGCGTTAATTGACTGGTGTGTAAATGAAGGTTTACTTAGTTGCCATTATAAGTGTCCTGTTGGTAGGAAGGAAATGCCAATGTCGAACGTCCGACGATATCGGCACTACGGAGAATATTTTTGTGAATATTGTGGCCACCCCAGTATACAGACTCTTCTTCAGATAACTTTCGGAAGTTTTTGGATGCTGTTAAGGAATTTTGTTTGACAGAAGACACATAAATAAGGTAAATAAGGTAAGCGGATATTTCCTTTGTGTAGTGCTAAGATGAATTTCCTTTTTTATAATATTTCATTGTTTTATTTAATATGTAGTTTATTGAGATTATATATTTTTTGTTGGCTTCTCTATTGACTTTTTAATGAATATAGATCGATCTGTATATGGACAAAGTCAAGGGAGTGTGCAATGCCTAGTTTGAGCAATTCTTTGAATTTTTTTTAAAGTGAAAATAGGTTGATGTGTACATGGAAACAGAGATTGTGCAATTCTTTGACTTGTTGTTTTGGATTTGTATAGTAGCGTGCCGCAGAAATCGCAGCTACATAAAGCGAAAATAACAAGTCAAAAGAATTGCACAAACTTGGTGTCCATGTACCTAAAAAAAAATCGCCAATTATCGCCAAGGGGCACACGTAAATATATTTTTACCCAGCTTTCTACAAAAGCATCAACTGTAGTCACAATGAATATAAATCATGTATATTTAATAAAAATTAGTCATATGTGTGATTTGGATCAAGTATTTAAAACCCATTTTTAGAAAATACTCAATACTAACCAGACACTAAGTAATATACCTGTCTCATGAATAAATACAAAACAGAATGTAGTTCTGCCACCATATTTTCATAACTCAAGAACAAAGATTAATGATTTAAAGAACAGCAAAACAGCAGATGCAAATACGATTCAGGTGAAACTTTTCAAATATGGATTAGTAAAACTAAATATATTGCTTACAATTTGGAATGAAGGAAAACTCTTATTTGAAGGGAGACGTAGCATTCGTCTCATCTATAAAATGAATAACAAACTTAAATTACAGTAGTCATCTTTAAGTGCTACTTGACAAAATCCTATCACATATTATATATTAGATCAATGTTGAATAGTGGTACAGTATTAATATGGTTTTTATAAAGGGAAATCTATGGTAAAGCAAATTTTTAACCTGATGACACATTAGCGACAAATGTAAAGAATTTGCTACCATACTTACAATTCATGCACAGATTTTTAAAGCAGCATTTGACTCAATTCATCAATAAAATTTTCTTACTCTGGCATATGAACTTAATATTTCTTAAAATCTAGACTGGTAAGACAGTATGGATAAACCAATTCTTTTATAAATATGAAAATAACTATAAATTTATTTTCAAATCAGCACTGAAGGGTTCTCTACACTTCAACCTTGGCCTTGAAAAGATTATTTGTACCTTAGTTTAAATTGAAAAAACATTTCCTTTCATACATCATCACAGATTTTAGTTTATTCAAATGAATTTCAAGACTTGACTTGATGCACACATTTATAGTTAACATAAATGCTGAAGAAATATGCAGTTAAAGTGAAATTTTGAGCACTTACTAAATGAACCTAGTTGAACTCTTCTCGGACACTAGATTTAAATAATGACAGCAAAATAATAAATTTGAATATTGATATTAGTACTGAAATAAAGTGAAGAATCTGACTGACTACTAGATGATTCTATGGTCTTTAAACATTTCTAAAAATTAGGTTATAATAATAAAAAAATGCTCTGTGAAACTATAGCATAACCTATCTCAGCATAGTTTTATATGGATGTGTCATACTATATATTAACATATTTAGTATGATACATTTTCAAAAACTTGGATGCTAACAAAAAAGAAAATAAATAAAAATTATCGGCAAAACTCAAGAGAAAAGTTTTACAAATATTTGGCGCAATAAAACTCAATTATACTAGGAAGAAAAAAAAAAACATTTATACACTGTACAGGATTTATAAGGTTAGTGATATGTTGAAGTGAATACAATTTAAGATTTGTTGGGCATATTGCAAGAATGCAGATAACAAAATCAATAACTGCTAAAATTTTGCAGTAAAATGTGCTCATTAAGACTGTTGTATTGTTGGCGATGATGGAAAAGAAGAAAGAAAAAACCAAATTTATATAAACTAGCTTACCATTTTCTTCATTGCTATCCTGTCCACTGTTAGTCACAGAACTTGCTTTTATTTTATTACTGCACCAGTCTGACCAGGCTTTACGTGTTGTGGGCCCTGAAAGTGAATTTTCCTCTTTTGAATCATTTGAAGAAGAATCCAATATGCAAGGATTCGATATACCACTCTTCAAACGTTTTCCACGAGAAATAGATAATTCTTCATCCTGCAAGTAAGTATGCTTGTTAGAAATCATTTTCGCTAATTACAGTATTTCAAAACAATTTGCAATACAATGAACCAAGTTTACGAAGCTATGACTACTGAATGAAATAAATATTAAATGAAGAAACCACGCAAAGAAAAGAAAGCTGGCTCTAATTTCAAAAAATGAAGAGGCATGTATTCCAAAACATGCATTAGTTTTCATGCAATATTTTTTCCTACTTAATAAAATTAGCATTTATTATTTAAAACTGCCATGAATTCATTGTTTATTTGCAGGATTTCATGTTATGTGAATCACAAGAACAACATAATTTAATTTGTAACCTTTCGAACATATTATGTTACACAACAGTTTTTTAAAATTAGAGAGTGATTTTTGTCAGTCTGTATACATTTTCTATGGTAGTCTATAAAACAGAAAAGGTTTGAAGGTGCAGCCACTTAAAAAAAAAAAAAAAAAAAAAAAAAAAAATGTAACAGTTGTCTTAGAGATAGTTTCAGGCATTTATATTGGTTGCACCTATGCTTTTCTGATTATTCAGCACATTTTCCTCCTTTCCTTATCTTAATGTGACCACTCATGTAGCTCTAGTAGTTCTGAGGTAAATACATAAAATTTTCAAATACTTTATTTAACCTTTTAACTGTCATGCCCGAAATAATCTCGGGCACAGCACTGGTATTCCAAAATGTCACACCCGAATATTACTCGGACTAACTTTTTAGAGTGCATCGTATTGTTATACCCGAATATATATCATGAGAAGTTTATTTCGGCTTCAGTTCAACAGATGGCGGCATTTTACTAAAGGTTTCAAAGGATAGAGGTTAAAGTTCAAAGTGTGCAGATTTTTTTAATTTTTTGACTGCGTGGCAAACATTTCATTTTTGAAATTTAAAAAAAATCGACAATTTATGCACCCAAATCATCAAAATAACTTGACAGTTAAAAGGTTAATTCGCACATAATCATGGCTCAGTTCTTTACTTTGCCAGCTGCCATACTCTCTTACAGTGTCAAAAGACGATTCGGAATACAAAATCTCTGACACCCTTAACTTGCTGATCACTATTATTACTACTCTACAGAATTTTGATGCAACCTACTATCTACTTCTGTTGTGGAAGTAATTTTTTTTTTTTTTTTTTTTTTTTAGACTACCATTAATACCTGCTGTGGGGGAATCCTTTCAGAACTCAATGATCACAGTATAAATATTTCAGAAGTTGAGAAGGCAAAGTTGCATGCCTTCTCGAAATATATGCTTATTCATCAAACCTGATAGTGCAATTCTACATGCCAACTGTGATGCAAATATTGCATTCAATAAGAACCAACAAAAGAACAGTAGAAACCTGCATATACAAAATGACTGCACAATGGAAAGAATGCAGATTTTCATCAGTGAATCACAACTTAAGAAAATTACTCAGGCACAAAACTTTACATGCTAAAATACAGCAATCTTTCAGTAAGTTAAGCATAGGTAATACTACTGGTAATTAAGGTTAAAGTAACATGCCAAATAATCATTATAGGAGAAGTCAAATAATAAGAATCAGCTTAATAATTGTATATTTTGCAGGACTAGTTTCAATGGTTAACTTTAGAACCATCCTCCTCAGCTGCCTAAGTGCAAATGAATAAGGTAAGATATGGTGTTAAGATACCATATTCAGATGAGGAAGTTGATTCTGTTCTTACCATCGAAACTAGTTCTGCAAATTTTGCAAAATTTACGAATAGTATGCTGATTTTTGTTTGACTTCTCCAATAACAATTCGTCATGTTAGGAATTCCACTCAAGAAAGTACAATTTATTATTAATAATATATTTAAAAAATAGTTTTATATTCAATAAATCTGAACTAATTTACTTTTAAGACTTTTTTTTTTGTGTGTTTAA